AGTGCTGTTACATGTATATCAAGAACTGCTAATTAAACAGTGTGTGGTAGTGCCTAGCCATAAACACTCTTATCCTTCCCGCTGACGCGAGGTCCGTATGCACCCTGAGACAGAATCTCATCGCTCTAGTGTGAATGCGGTACCCATCACCTGTAGTTTCCGGTTCATTCCCCCTTTTTCCTGAAATGTAAGCCTTTACAGTAAGCTTACTGGCACCCAGTATTAAGGTAACCCATACCCCACAAACAATTATCCACAACAACAACAACAACAACAACAACAACAGAAAAAAGGGAAGCAGAACTGGATAAGAAGGACGCAGCAGCAACCTGCAAACTCGGAGTACCAACAGGTGAGAGGGAACGGCTAGAGGAGCAGCTACAACCAGCAACCAAGGGGCCAAAAGGACGGTAAGAGAAGGAAAGTGGCACCAACATAAAGGGCCCAACGGAGTGAACGGTTATAGATATGATGCCAGTCCGCCGACTTTTCGGATGACTGTATGGCCTCAGTGATTAGGGTGGAAGGGTAAGTGAAGCAAGAAACCAGAGAGCAGGAACATTTTATAGCTTACTGCAGGTTTAGAGGGGCTGTAAAGCTATATAGGTTCTTGCTGCCACCGTACAGTCTAATAGGGACCTGCAACACTGTACAGGAACATTTTATAGCTTACTATAGGTGTAGAGAGGCTGTAAAGCTATTTAGGTTCCTGCTGTCACCGTACAGTCTGATAGGGACCTGCAACACTGTAAAGAACTGCACTTTTCGTGACTGTACAGGAACATTTTACGTATAGCTTACTGTAGGTGTAGAGAGGCTGTAAAGCTATTTAGGTTCCTGCTGTCACCGTACAGTCTGATAGGGACCTGTAACAGTGTGCAGAACTGCGCTTTTCGTGACTGTACAGGAACATTACATAGCTTACTGTAGGTGTAGAGAGGCTGTAAAGCTATTTAGGTTCCTGCTGTCACCGTACAGTCTGATAGGGACCTGTAACAGTGTGCAGAACTGCGCTTTTCGTGACTGTACAGGAACATTACATAGCTTACTGTAGGTGTAGAGAGGCTGTAAAGCTATTTAGGTTCCTGCTGTCACCGTACAGTCTGATAGGGACCTGTAACAGTGTGCAGAACTGCGCTTTTCGTGACTGTACAGGAACATTACATAGCTTACTGTAGGTGTAGAGAGGCTGTAAAGCTATTTAGGTTCCTGCTGTCACCGTACAGTCTGATAGGGACCTGTAACAGTGTGCAGAACTGCGCTTTTCGTGACTGTACAGGAACATTACATAGCTTACTGTAGGTGTAGAGAGGCTGTAAAGCTATTTAGGTTCCTGCTGTCACCGTACAGTCTGATAGGGACCTGTAACAGTGTGCAGAACTGCGCTTTTCGTGACTGTACAGGAACATTTTACGTATAGCTTACTGTAGGTGTAGAGAGGCTGTAAAGCTATTTACGTTCCTGCTGTCACCGCACAGCCTGATAGAGACCTGAAACAGTGTGCAGAACTGCACTTTTCTCTGACTGGCAGAGGTGGGGAGTCGCTTAAATTTGTGTTGCTTCAGGGGACACGGTATCACAGATTTCGAGCCCCCCACCCCTGGGGTAACGCTTGGTGCTATGAACCAGGTTCTGGCTCAAGATCCTCTTAATTACTCAGGGTGTCTGCTCGTGCATGATCACGCTGACAGAAACACATAATTAAAACAGAGGCCGCATGAATTCTGTGGAAAGGAAGAGGTGCGAAAGGACAGAAAAAAATACTGTGATGAAAAATGTTAAAGGAGGAAACAAGATAACGAGCAAAAAAAGGACCCTGCTTATAATGATAACGTACCGTGTGCTGGCTGAATTTGTTTGGAAGCAGAGAGGAAGATGCAGTGATCTGAGGAGCCTTCAGAATTTATGTTTTCCCCTTTAACCATTAAGGCAACTTCCCGCCTGTTTTAAATTAGATCATAGGTTTATATTTAACATTGCAAACTCATCAGTCCGCAACCGCCATACCATTCGACGGTACTGGCAATGCCGTCAATTGAGCTAGAATAAATACATGATTCATTTTCCACGGTATATATTTCCTTCTACATAGGCTATACAAAACACTTTGTAGGGGTGCTGTTTATCATTGTCCTTACACAGTTAGGATTTCCACAGCAAGGAGCTGGCGAGCGTTAATACGCTGCGTGAAGTAGCTCTACTGTTTCAGTCAACGTGTCTACGAGTATTCTCTTGAGTATTCAATGTACGTATTTTGGTGCGGATATATGAACCGTAAAAAGGGCTAAACTAAAGTCATTCCTGTAACAGGCCGTGGAAACCTATGGGATTGTGAGACGTCGAGGCTCCGAAATTTTCCAAACAATCAGCTCACAGACGGAGGTGAGGTTGCCAGGCTTACGCCCCGGCCGCTCGTCTTGTACCTTCAGGAAGATTCCTGGTACTCAATTCTGTTAGAGGTTTAGTCGACCACAGGTCCATTTTCGCTTAGTGGGGGGTGGAGTCCACCTGGGTCCACTCGGCACGGCGGCCACTGTTTGACCTGTTGTACCCGCCCCTCTTGATTATGATGATGGAGAATTTGGTGGAATGGCGATTGGCGGGGAAAACCGAAGTACTTGGAGAAAATCAGCCCAAGCGCCACTTTGTCCACCAAGAATCCCACTTGACCAGACCCTGGATCGAACCCGGGTCGCCGCGGTGGGAAGCCGGCGACTAACCGCTTGAACTATGGCGCGGCCTTATCACAGGGTGCGATTGGAAGGATTAGGTCAATTGAAAAATCCAGTGACCTCATCGAGCCTCGAACCCGCAACCCTCCTGCTCGTAGCGTAGTATCTCAACCAACTACGCTACCGCGTGTCTCTAAATTTATCCCTGGACTTAATTAATTACCACACCATGAATGTGTGGCACTTTGGCACTAGATGGAAATGAGTGGTCAGCTTCACGCCCCGGTCGCTTTACCCCCGGCACCCATTTGGTAGGAGACTAGGTGAGCCTCACAGGGTCGCGGGTGTTAGTGTGCTTGCTGAATTGGTCGCTTTGTGACGAGGTGCGGAGATTTCACCTGCCGATCAGCACGATGTCCTGCTACAATGGGTCCACTGGGAAGCCTGCGTGACTTGAGTGCGTACGAGATTCAGTCTCTGCAGCAGTGCGGTCTCTCATTCAGAAGGGACAATACTGAGCGTGTCAAAGGATCTGGGGGCAGTGAAGTCATTGTAGTAGTAATTGTATTGTAGTTGAATTTACATTGTATTCATTGTGTGTGGTGTGTCCTTTATTGTTTTTGTAGTTTTGTGTGCTGTGTTTCGTTTTAGTGTGGTGTGTTATTGTGTGTTATTTCTTTTGTANTGCGGTTTACTAAAGACGCTTCTGGAAACTATGGACGATGAAGTAATGACGTTCTATTGAGGGAGATATAGGTGATCAAGAAATAATTGGATATTTAACGGGGGTTTTGGGAAATACGAGCGATATTAAAATAACGAGATATTTAACGGGGGTTTTGGGAAATAGGAGCGATATCAAAATAATTGGATATTTAACGGCGGTTTCGGGAAATACGAGCGATATTAAAATAACGAGATATTTAACGGGGGTTTGGGGAAATATGTGCGATATCAAAATAACGAGATATTTAACAGGGGTTTGGGGAAATAGGATTAAGATCTGGTCATGAAAGTCTGAATGGGCTCTAAATTAAGAGAAAGTGACTGGCCAACCGTCAGTCGTAAAATGACTTTGAAACGAAGCAGGAAGTAAAGAGGAATTTTGTAGAAACGAAGCGGTGGGTAATGTGGAAGACGATGGCGAATAGTTGTCATAACCATGGTGGGCCTTTGGTAAGGCACTGGTGTATAGTTTAGAACAGTGTTCCGCAACCGGTGTGCCGCGGCACACTGTGTGCCGTCACAAGGTGAAAGGTGTGACGCGAACTTTGAACTATTGTAAGAAATTAATTGTCGAATTTTATTCGTTTTATTTTATCCCAGTTACCGTGTTTCATATGCTTGTATTTTATTCTCAGCCACTGCAGTGATTAAATAAGATGATGCTTGTTTATTCTTTATCACATGCTGGAATTTTTTATGTACAGTAATGTTGTATTCTAAAAAATTAAACGTAAATTATTTACTCACAGTTGTTATATCATGGTTTTCATTATTGATTTAATTTTCTCACATCTACGCAGCTTCCTTGATATGCTTGCCGCATGTTCTCTGTACGTGATTTTCCCTAAAACTGCAGGGATTAACATGGGTTTTCCTGTCTTTTTTCTAACGCCGTTTTGATATTTGACCCTGTTTGTTGTAGTTAGAGCTTCTACAACTTCAAGACTTTCTTCCTGTAACGATGCACCTACCGATTGTTGGACTTCATTTAAAATTATAAATATTTAAAAAATAAGTCAGTTTAGTGTCACTTCTTCCGTCTGAAAAGTAGAGATCCCGCGTTTTACAATTTTTTCAGTTCTATTACAGCTGTGCTCTGAAGTAGTTCGCAAATTTTTGGTTGTTAGTTAGAGAATTACAGATGGATCGTTTGAGATGTCCCCGACTGTATGGCCACTTGCTGACGGCAATAAAGTAGTGATGGACACAATTAAAGAACATTTAGAAATGCTGCAGCAGAAACTCAATAAGTATTGTGGAGAGAGTGTACAAGATTTCGACTGGGTTCGTGATCCATTTGCTGTGAATTCAGAGCAAATTCCGGTTAATATACAAAAGGAACTCGCAGATTTAAAAGCAGACAGAACATTGAAACTAAAACTTCTCGAAGTGCCTTTGGATACGTTTTGGTTGGCAATAAGGAGTGGATACCCGGCTATCTACGAGATGGCAGTTAATGTGTTATTGCCTTTTTCAACGACATATTTGTGTGAACTGGGCTTCTCGACGTTAACTGAAATTCAGACATCAAAGAGGGAGTTGCTCAAATCCATCGATGAAGAAATGAGAATTGCGTTGTCAACGATTCCACCACGGATCAGTCGCCTGTGTGCAGCTACGCAGGCGCAAGTAGCACATTGAAGGTATGAGTAGAATTACTGTATTTACTTTAATAGTAATAGAAGTGTATTTTCTACACTCTACAGTGAATTAAAGTTCATTAATTGTTAATAAATGCACGAGTCGATTTCTGTTTAATGATAATAAAATAACAATATAATAATATTATAGTAATAAGTTGATCACGTTACGTATTTATATTAATTGTCTGATATCATGCGATTTTGAGGGGAATAACATTTTGGTGTGCCGCGAGTAGAAAAGGGTTGCAGAACACTGGTTTAGAAGTATGGGTCCTCGGGTATTTAATCAATTGAGACCAAGCTACTTCAGCGGGGTTCGAAACCGCAGGAACAAGAAATGAGCAGAAAATTTTGACGTGATATGACATCATATACAAACCTTCCTTCCTGTTATCTGAGAATGACAATTACGTTAGGATCGCAGATAGTATCGTACTATATACGGTCGAAAGTGCCGTTGGTAACTATGTAACCTCCTATTATATCCTATTACGGCCACAACATCAGTATTGAAAGTGTTAATATTATGGGCATCGTATAGCCTCGTAGCTGTGCATGTACATTTTGAAGGCGCATATTGCCTCCATATACAGGATAAAAACGGAGGCATGTGTTTATCCAAAACAATACACATCTACCAGGCTCTACTGTGCCATTACTTAGAAGGCCAGAATCTGGTTCTTCATTACCAATAACCAAAGCGTTTGAAATAATAAAATGAAAAGTTCAAATGGTATCAATGTGACATTTGAATTTTTGAAGGTGATATTATGTGGGACATGATGCCGTTTTACCTGGTAGAAACTCACCTCCATTTCCGAGGAACTGCCTACATATTCAGGGCCAAAGAGTAAGCCGAAGAAGTAATCAGTATGTGAGAAGCAGCTTCCTTGCTGTGCCCTTCAACCCTGAAGATGGATGCAATACATTCATTTGAAATGAGAGCGAACTACCAGACTGCATGGCATCAAGCCTCGGAAGAACATTTTGAATATGATACCCTGTGAATGGAGTATAACAGGACCAGCACCAATATACATAATTCCACTGTTGGCAAAATTCATCAGTCTCTTCACCATTGACCTCATGAACAAAATATTCGAGCATGGTATTTTATTGTTCCTGCATCTCCCACTTCCCATGGCATATAATTTAGTTCTGATTTATTTCCTATCGTAGTTGGTTCAATGAAGGCTTTTTCTTATTCTTCGGGTTCTCCCAGTTTAGTAGGTTCCTTGTTCTAAATACTCCAAAATTCATTACTTCACACATTCTATTATTACTACTGCAACATTTCATTCTGTCAGATTCTGGTTTTACACTTTACTCTGTCTAGTCAATCATAAATGTCTCCAAAAAATTATTTCTGCCGATTCAAACCAAAGCCTTACTCTGTGAATTAGTATAAAGACTTCAACACAGAAATTAATAATTTGCCCTCTACATGTAATTCTATTTATTTCCATTTTCTCTCTTTCTGTGCTATTCTACACATCCTTGCTTGTAGAGCTTGCTGGTTTTTATTTAAAGGAACATTCCCCTGCTGCTCAAAGACTACAAACATGTGTATTTAGTTCAAGGGTTAAGGCCAAGAGTCCTTTCATGTGAGATATTTTGTGCATAGTATGGAAACACAGTTAATACTTGCAATATCCTCTAGACATGAATCAGTCTGTATTTAGGGGTGTGCTGTGATGCAATCTTGTAAATTTACTGACCTTTCAGGGTAATATACAATGACCATCTTAAGGCTTAAAGAGTAAGCGAAGAAAGCATGCTGCATAACTGCTTGGATTAATCTTTGATCCTGAAGATGGAAGCAGTATATTCCTCCAAAATGTCAGTGAACTTCTAATGGACTACACAGTATCACATCTCATAAGGTACTATTCCTCATAAGTAGCCAGATTTGTGCTTCAGTCATTTAGCCTCAAGAAAAGAGTACACATGCCCCATGTTTCATACCCACTTTATCCATATTGGTGTTCCCAACACAAAGATATTCACTGTTTATAAGCTTTTGTTTCATTCTTATATCATGCATAAGCCTTATGATATCTAATCCCTTCCTGCAGATTAAATTTCATCATTTAGAATTACCCTCACTCTGGTATGTGGCTAAGTAATTTCTGCAACTGATAAAGAATCTTCAATAATATATATATATATAAAACACCATTTTTGGAATTCATGCATCTGCTTCACCACTTCCTTGCTACGCTTGTCATAGTTCCTACCTTGCTAACTGGTCCAATTTGGAGTTCCTTTAGAGCAAACTGTTTCCTTTTGCTGTGTACAAAGACTGTTTAAATTATGACAAGCATGCATGATGAAATATTTGCACAGATGACACCATCCATGGATGGCATTTACTACCAACTTGGATTATTTTTATATTCATCTCTGACATATCTCCATGTCAGCAGTTAAAAATACATTTAAAAGCAATTTGCTGAGCAAGACTAGTGCCCTGGAAGGGCAGATGAATCAGGCTTACTGCAACTACATAATGTGTGTAATGTACAAAGCACATATAGATTCTTCTGTTCTTGGCTTCAACACTGAATTAGAATTCAGCATATGATTTCTACATGCTATATAATTTTAAAAAATTTTACAGATATTTAATCTCATACTTAAATGCTTTATTCTAATCTGTTTAGATGAAGCTTATAAAATTGGCATATGATGCTGGCACAGTTCTCCACTGGTTTCAGAACCTCAATTACTTCCTTCTTCTTAATGTGGAAACTAATCAAATGTGAAAGGGAAGACGGGAGGCATATATTATGCAGAAACTACGAACTCTTAGCATTCTGGTTTAATGGTATGGCAATACTTCTTTCAGCTGGTATGCATACTGGCACAGTTGTCAAAAGTCACACACTGACTAGTGCGTTTCATGTTCTGATTTTCAGACTAAAACCGAACATTACAATACTTGAAACATGGTTTCAGGAAAAGTACTGATTGGTGATGGTGGGGGGGGGGAGAAGGAAAAAAGTGCAAAGTTATATGAAAGTAGCAAAAACAGGTTCAGGTTTCATTTGACAGTCTACAGTGTAATTTTAGCACTGTTCCCCACCAAATTTTACATTCTATAAAAATTATTAAACATACAAACTGACAAATCTAGCAGACCTGTAAGAATGAATCAGAATTTAGAAGACATATTTTCAATATGTCCTGAAGGAACTATCACAGATGAATGCAAACTATGTAGCAGTTTTTCGGTTTGTGACAAGCAAGGATAAGGTCTGATTATTTCCAAAGTAATGTTCCCACTTTAAACTTATTCCAACAGATGCAATTATAATTTAAAAGCTCTTATTGTAAGCAGTTCAAGCTTATAGCCATATTGAAGCTCACCCTTGGCTGGAGGTCTCTGCAGTGCTACAGTGAACAAGCCACAGCAGAAACTCAAGAATATGACAAGAAAATAAAACATGTGGGATGTAGTTTTGTAGTCATAGTCATGTTTTGCCTGCTATACCCTCTGGAGCATCAGCACAGGCTGTTTAGTGTGCAGAAGTCATGATTAAGTGATGTAAGCAGATTGGTCTGATTTTGATGTTTAAGAAGATTATTAATTTTGGTCAAATTTCACACAAGACCAACCATTCATAGCAAGGCACAGTAATGGTATCCATATTCAGTTTAATTCAATGATTGCATGTATATTAAGAAACTTTTGCATAAATTGGAATAAATCATAAAGCATTAGTTAGGTCTTGCTTAGAGGGGAACACAGACACAACAAACATTTCAAAAACTATTTTGTCTGTGAATACCAGTTGCTATTGGTCAGTTGCTCTTGTCCTGTCAGTTTCTCTGTTCATCATTTTCTCAAAAATGTATTCAAGACATATGACTACAGTCTGCCCAATATGCACCAGTACTTATTTTGAAAGAGATTCTTACAAGCAGTTGATCACAAAATTATTGTATGTACCTCAAACAGTTTCCAAAAATCAAGAACATAAGCTTGTTTAAACTATATAAACTATTATAAAACAACCTCTAATGGGTCCTGTTTCTTCCCTATTTCAAGTATTGCAAAAAATGTATATATTATGGCATTACTTATAAAATTACCTTGTAAATAAATGAAGTAAAACAACATAGCTCAAAATATAACACTCATATACTTGGGTCATAGTTTTTTAAGTATCTTAGTGACTTTATTTTTTAAATCGGTTCTTTTCAAGCAATGTAACACTAAAAATATGTAAGTACTATGGAAAGAATACAACACAAATCACTTCTGGAGAGAAGTAATAGCCCAACATATTACAAGAAAATTATAGTGAAACCAAACATTCAAAATCAGTGTTAAATGAATGGTAATCCATGTTTCTTTCCCAAACTGAAAATTATACTTCACATTTAAAGCCTTTTTTCTGGTGTGTAAAATTTACAAAATTTTCCTTTCAAACAATGACTATCATAAACTGACACCACATATCCACAAAGTGTAACTGACTTTTTCAGCCATTTTCTGCTTTAAACTTCTTAAAATCTGTCATTCATGAATTCAGGGATGAGTAATACAGATATTTGTTGACAAGTGAAATGTCTGTGATACATAATATTGAAACACCTCAACAATAAAATTTCTTATAACTGATGCACTCTTCTGCCAATCTTCTGCACGATTTCTTTTTACAAATAGAAGTTCTGAATGAAATGATTACGATTTGCTAATTTTAAGTTGTGGTCTTCTGAGTTAAAACACCACATTTTGGTAGGTGGTAATGTCATACCAGACTACAGTTTCATATCCAGAAGAGTATAAAATAAATCTTTACCTCCATCAGAAGTTTGAAACTCACATACGAGTTACACAGCACGAAACATTGACAGATCCAGTTTACTGTGATTATCTAAAAATATTCTTACTGGTGTCAATATATGATATATAAATTCCATGGGGAATACTTCTGAAGAGGCATATTTTTGACAGTTTCTTCGGTGGCTGTTCCTATATCAGATGCTAAAATCTGGATCATTGTAAAGTTGCAAAGAAAATAAAGCTCTATGTCACAGTCTGAATAAATGACAAACATGGAAAACCAGACTAAAGCCACAGCAACTTGTCTTTCTCGACTGAAAAATGTTCATGCATTTGGAGGCTCAGCATTATCTTTAAAAATTAAAGAATTACAGTACCTACAATTATGGGTCATTGCTCAAAAGTTTAAAAACCATTAATCATCATTCAAATTTGTGTGTTCAGTGATACACATCAAAGTATATATTTATGGGAAATCACTCAAAAAAGAGCTTTGACATTTCACGAACAATTTATCTGTGAAACAATATTTTGTCAGGATACATCATTATATGCAGATAAACTGAAGGATATTGTTTCTTGCATCACATATAGATTATGCAAATACCTACTCTTTTCTGAAAATTATTTTACAAATAATAATGCTTAATGAGGATAAAGACTTTTATCACTGAGACGATTCAGAATTTATATAATAATTATGCATGGCAAAACAGAACATGCGAACTGCAAATTTTGCAATGTCCAGATTCAATGTCATTATTTAATATTTTAATATGCCACTGTTATGCTAATTAAATATGCTAGTTATGCAACTTGCATTTTTATCCTCCTCTCACTGAACTTTTAAGAGAAAGGCAGGTTGAAGCATAATAAACACCTCCAAATTTTAAGTCTTCTTAAATTATGCTGGAATAAAATGAAGTGACAACTTTCCAGAAATTATTTTCACAGTTGTCAATACAGTTATAAGGAAATATTCCTTGAAGATCACTGCAATGCAGCTTGTCTGTAAAGTTCCATTCCACCTGAAATATTAACAAAAAATTGCTTGAAACTGGGCAGTAACCAGTTTTCACATTTTTATGAATGCAACCTTATCCCTATGGTAATCCACTGGCATAGTAATGAAGTAATAAACTCAACAGTTCCAGTACTTTTAAGTTTTTATTTTATATTTTTTGGTTCAAGTTAATATTGTTGTGGATCATTAACAAAGAAGAATTCTGTCTTCTGAGATGTGGCAATGTGTAGTATCCTTAAAATTTATCAATGTTTTGGAGGAATGTATTGCCTCCATCTTCAGGGTCAAAGAGTAAGCTGAGTGAGCACACAAACTCCTTCTTGCTTGCTCTACTTACTTTTTTGACACAAAAGATGAAGACAAAACATTCCTCTCCAGCATCAATAAACTTTTAATAAACTCCACAGAATCATTCCAGCAGTATTCTTCATGTACACTGTAGTGAGAAACTCATATCTCTTGGTATCATAGATATTCATGCTTCAATATGGATCCAGCCATAATAAAAAACAAACAATTTAAAATGTGATGACCAAAACAAAAAAAATTAATGATGCATCTTCCACCAATGGTGTCAGTTTGAATGAATCTGAATACACTTACAGTGAGCTGATATTGCTCTAAGTAAACAAAGATCTAATGCTGTAGTAAACCATAGGATTAAAGAAACTTACACACAGGTCACATTGCAGATAAAAGCATAGGTTCCTGTTCTTTAGTTACAAAAACTCATGGGAACTCTATTTGTAATGTAAGATGCTGGAGTAATGCTATACATGCATCATGACACAACTTAATGTAAGTTGATACATGAAGTGGCAGATTACCATGCTCCTTACATCTGGACTAAACACAATCTTGTAAAACTGACCGTATAACAGCCTACAGGGAAGAAAAACATCAAGAGTCATGTGTGACACACTCTTAGCATTGCCACAGCTGACACAAGTAACCAAATGATGGATGACTCTGTAACTCAATGGTCTCTTGGAGGATAGGGGCCAATCATCAAATACTTTCCCTTGGGTTCAAGTCAGGATGATGTAATGCACTTCTATTATTCTTTATCAAAACAGCCTGCAGCACTGATTGATTCTACATATATTAAACTACCTTGTGTTCATTATTATCATCTGCAAAATATTCTATTTGTTACAACACTAAATTATAATTTGAAACTATAATATCTAAATAAAAAAAGTTGTTAGTTCTCTCAAATTTCTGAACACAGGGGGAAATAGACGGAAGACCCTGCACTGAAGAATGCCCTTCATTTCAGCACTGGTTAACTACATAACAGTTTTACCTGCAGTAAATAATAAAAAAAAAAAATGCCATCTGTCAGTTCAGACCAGTTAGTGCTATGAATATGAACTGAACTGTAGCGATTGTCATACATTTTCACATTTACAGTTTTTGTCGAAGCGTCTTTGGTGGCAGGGATGGTCCCAATTAATTACTAAGTGAAATCACCCAATTTGCAAGTAATTTCTGCATAACACCTACTTCCTACCAGCATGTTGTACTTTAAAACTGCCTACTGCAATGTGATGATTTGAAATTCTTTAATTGGAATTTTGTTACTCTAAATAATTCTAAGAGATACATTTCATTTCAGAATGGTGAAAATTATGGTGATTATAAAGATTCAATTCCTTGACTATTCCATAAAATGTGGTTATATTTTGATTGTACTAAGCATGTGTCACACACCTCCAAAAGTTGCTTCCCCTGGAATAATTTCACTGACATATAAAGGTAGATGCTTAAAAAAAATACTGAAATTCAACTTGTAAAAAATTTGTGGATTTTAAATTGAATCATGAAATAATTGCATGTAACAGGATAAATGGAACTTCGGTTTTTTAGCTAAATCTATCTTAAATGTGTTGTTTTTGTTTCTGTTTCTTTTTTTTTTTTTGTTGCAATATTAAATGGGTATATCACTGTTTCAGTACCCAGATTTTTAGTCAGTTTGCAGTGAAACTTTGTAATAAATATTATTATTAATAATATTGGTATTATTAATATTATTATTATTATGTATAGAAAATGTGAATATATGTACAGAACAAAACAGAAAGGGAAACATTTTGGCATGCACACTGGTTGTTGTTTACAAAGATAAAATTCAGCAAATATGATAGAATTTAGTTTTGTAAGAAAGAAAATGACAAGGGACATTAGTATAACAGAAAGTGTGCCACCAGTTCATACACAAGTCAGCTTTGTCAAATTTGTGGTGTTTCTCCCAAGGATCATTTGGTTCTGTATTTGCAAAGCTTACAAAGAACAGAATAAAATTAATTTGGAGTTTGAAAGTGGGATGAAATTTCGATGATGCCTTTGTATTGGAATTCCTTTAGCAATAGTAGCTTCATTCATTTTGTGGCACAGCATTCCTTTTTACTAGGTATATACACAACTATTTCAATTTTTAATATTTTAAGCAAATTTTAAACCAATTCTTCTTGTGCATGCAATGAATGGGAGGGATACAATATATCAGAAACATGCATACTTTCAAACACACAAACACACACAGTCACACATGCGCACAATGCCATACATTATAATAGTAATTAGCGATATATAAAATGTTTTGATTCTGTACCAACTTCAAATTAATAAACACACAATCAATCAATTCATATTGTTAAGGCAACTTTGTCACGCTTTTTTTAATCATAATTATAGTGGAAAGTGTTATGAACCAAGATTAGCTAACAGCAACAAGTGTACCCTTTGAAAATCAGAACAAGTTGAATAAAGTTTCTTTGGCTCCATCTTTATAATACAAAACTGAACCAAAGTTAAAGACTTCTTCAGTCTCTAGAACTGTCGATGAAATGTCGGCAACCACAAAGTCATGGACTTGGTTCCTTATGTACCCTTAAAACATTTTAGGCCCTAATGCTCAGTCCACTGGCCACAAGTCAACAAAGAGAGCAAGATGACACACTTTGTTTCAGCTGCCATGGCGTGGAACTTCATTCCAGAACGTTGTTTATCTTTGTAACAAATCCCTACAGCTGAAAGTCAACTACACACAATGTTATTTTTTGGGTAAATTTTCTTCTCTGTTGGCAGAACTGAGCACCAATAAGATTTTACTTCTTATAATTATTTTTCATGTGTCCTTCTAGTTTTATTATATCACAGAAAAAACGTAAACATAACCTCTTTTAATGAACAAAACACAATCACTTGTAAAGCACTTGAGGGGGAAGAGATTGCATAGTTGAAAATGTTTCATAGTGAAAAGAGTTTCGGACAAAAATGTCATCTTTTGCACTGTGTGTCTTTTTAAGTTGGCAGTAAATAACTTGCTGGCATGCAAGAATCCACATGATGACTGGCCCCAGTGAGCCACAGTACAGTATTTGTCTCAACCTTGTTTTCTGCAGCTTTCCAACTGTCACTGCTCTTCAGGCTAATGGAGGGACTGCAGTAGGTAGCTACTATCACTTAATGTTGCTACATCTTCTGGGATATATGGACACTAACCTAACATAACCTAGTAGCATCTTTAGTTGCCAGATTTGTAACTACAATTTTGAAAGAGAAAGTCCAAATTCATACTATTTTGTCTTTTACATTATTCACTACCATGCTACAGTATACTGTCTCATTAGTCTGACCTAACCTACAACATTCCAGAATCAGCCACTGTTGTTCATGTCAACAACAAATGGCAACAAATCCCTGTATGTTGAAATTACAATGCTGTTTGTTAAGTTAGGTTAGTAGTGATATCACTAAGAAGGAGGATTAGGTTGGTTTTGACTGAAGCAGTCAACAGAACTAAACAATGAATTGCTGCCATTTCTGCTGCAAGGTTAATGTAGGTTAGGCTAGCACCAGTCATCATCATCAGAGTCACTATGTCGATTCCTCCGCTGCTGGCCAGGCTTGTAACCATTTGGAACAGGAGAAGGTAGCATGCGTCCACCACGACCAATTGCTACTGCTTGTTCAAAGCTCATAGGGCACTGTTGTTGAGATGAAAGTCCGAGAGGCATGGGGCCTATGGAACCTGTGGGACAGTGGGTGGGTGATGCATTCAGCTTGGGGAAGTTGATGGATGCAGGCCGCAACTGAAGCGTTGAGGGCTTGCTGGGAGTGTCTGGAAGTCGCCGACCTTGACCTCTTCGAGAAACTAGCACTGGATAGCTCTGTTGCTGTATTGGATGTGACATCAGCTGTTGCTGACGGCGATGATGATAGGGGTGAGGTTGGTGCCGAGGCTGACCTCCTTGTCCAGGCCCAGTTCTCAGAGGCGATGGTGAGCGCGACCGCTGTTCCAAACTTGTCGTGCCATACTTTCTGGTTCTGGATGTGTGGTAATAGGGCTGGTTGGGGCTCGGTGACCTCGCTGGGCTCGTCGAAGCTGACCACGATCCTGAAACACCCCATTCCATAGTGGTCATAATACAGACAACACAGACCACATGGTGAATAACGTGCTAAGACATTAACAATTACAGCATTAGGCAGAAGATGGATAAAAGCTTAAAACGCCACACACTCACATCTTTAGTTACAACTGATGTATGTAGCAACATATGTAATGTAAAAGAATATCATTTCATATATTCATCAATGTTTATAATAATGGGAAATTTATTATTATGAGGTATGGATATATAGATCATCTGGTAATTGCACAAATCAAGTAATGTATAAGAAGAAACATGCCTATTCATTCAGTGACTATAGGACAACTTCACATTGTCTAGCAATGACAAATAACACTGCACACTCAATCTAAGTAAAGTTACCAACCTATATATATACGAGTATATCCACATATCATCTGTAAGATTTCTTTAACTTCCATTGTTTCTGAGGTTATTAAAAACCCTGAACTAACAACAGACTTTATGCAGTACAGAATTAAAGACGGAATGAAATTTCGTGAGGGATGGAAGAGGATTATATTGTAGCCTATTGTGATGTATTTGATCAATGCATTGCCAGGCAACAGCTCTCTACACACGATATGCGCCTGCAACAGTAGAGCAAGCTGTGTTTTCCGTGTATCCAGCAGTTGGTGTAGGATTGGTGACGTCACATATCAACACTATGTGTTTCCTGTATGTCCCTCAGCTGCACATGCATGGTGACGTCACATTACAAGTGTGGTATGTGTTTACTGTTGGTCACTGTCCGTCCCTAGGCTATGCAAATGAGCAAAGTTCATAAGCTGGTAGAGAGAGAGAAATAGCAGTGGCAGAAGCACATGAGTGAGCACACTGGAACTAGTAAGTAATGGAGTTCTGAGTTCTTGGTAGGAGACAGCCATTTGAAAAAGAGTTAACTTGTGAATTGAAGACTTTATGTGTGCTGTAGTGCAGTGAGATTGGAAGTGAATCCTTCTTGACAATGGAATTACATGGATCTTGCTTTGCAGACATAGGCTGTATTATGTAAGATTTGAGGCTTTCACGGCGGTGACTATGAAGAAAGCAGTCTTCTGGGATTTGGCACCGTGTATATGTGGTGTTAACCGACGTTTCGGAGGAACGTATCGCCTCCATCTTCAGGGTAGAAGAAAAAATATAAGAATTCTGCAAGCGAAGAGACCGTGCGGACCGGTAAAAGCAGACACAGTCTGCTGCGAAGAGACACGGTCTCTTCGCTTACAGAATTCTTATATTTTTTCTTCTACCCTGAAGATGGAGGCGATACGTTCCTCCGAAACGTCGGTTAACACCACATATACACGGTGCCAAATCCCAGAAGACTGCTTTCTTCATAGGCTGTATTGCTAACATTTCGAAGATCTTACTGTCACTATTATCAATGTGAAGTAAATACCTAATTGTCCCACCTGATATTTATAGTACAGGTGTACTGGTTGATGGGAAATACTCCATTTGAAGTGAAATGATAGCCAACACAGATACAGAAAAGTATTCCTTTAAAAGACTAATATTCTTCTGAGGAAGGGGAGAGGTATATACAAATGGTATGGTGCAAAATGTGCAAGATGTAGGTTGGTGTGAACAAAAACTGGATGAAACAGAATGATGGGAAAATGGGAAGAGAAAATTAACCCTATAAAAGGCTGGATGGTATCTAGTGAAGTTGGGACAAATACAGTAAGATCAATCCAACATTAGCCATGAACTGCCATGAAAGACTGAAATCATTAGAAAAAAATATATATATATATATGATGGAGGAAGGAATCACGTATAATCTGAGAATGTTTAAAGTTAAAATAATATATAAATATTTCTTTTTATATTTCTGGATCCATATTGCTTGGACTAGGGTTGAATTCCTAGCATGACCAGGAATATTTCTTTTCTGTAAAATGTCCAGACTAGCTCTAGAACTTAGCCAACCCATTATCCACTATGTACCAGAATATTTTCCCAGCAGGTAAAGTGATTAGATTGTGAAACTGAGCTCTCTTCCCCATTTGGTGCTGTAGTTAAGAATCTAGCAAACTTTATTTCCAGCACACTTATACACTCCAAGATAAGATGTTAGGCACAGGAGCAACTGTATGTTTACCTTATAAGTATATTTTATTTACAGGAGGGTTTGGATCTACAAATTTTGCCTTGACTGAAAAAATGTCAGCTCACACACAAAAGGATAGTTGACACAATGAGGAAGTAATGATGGTGCTGATAATGATGATGACTCATGACAAAATGCTGCAGCAAAAATAATATTCCATTTACAAATATATTTCCAACAAAAGACATTAACGTAGGTTCATAATAATGTTAATGATGATATGTATTTTGAAACAAAACATTGGTTATGAAGAACAGTTAGTAGTAAAATAAGAATAATGGTAATGAGCATAAGCATCTGACCATCGTGTACTATTCTATAAAATTACATGCCTGCAAAATTAGACAGAAGATGTGTGGATATCTTCAACACAATATTACATTTAAATGTGACACGAATGGGTTGTGGGCATCACCAAAACATGGGAAAACTAATACTGTAACATGCCTGAAAACTTCTGTCGAAATTCTCATATGTTGTCTTCACAAACATACAGTGTAATCCCTGTGACTAGCATCTCTTTTATACAAACAGCAAAATCAGGAATCAATTTCATCAGCAAATATTTGGAAACAATATTAAACTGCTTCATAACCACGCCTATGTAACAAGAAGAACAATTTTGTCAATAAAATGCTTTCAAAGTTATAACACTGTATGTGTAAATACAAAATTGCAAGATACAAAAGAATTCAAGTGACATGCTAAAATGACCAGTCAGAATCAAACTTGGTAGTTTTCAATGCTATGCCAATTCAGCAACAGATTCTGGAAATGGTTTCTTCATTTAAACTACTGATTAATCAAAAGTTTATTCAATTATGCTATTTCAACTGCAGAAATTATGTTATATCAAGTAAGACAGGAAGAAAATCATGAAAGGTAGTGAGTAAATAGGGATTTGGAAGGTGGCAGTCATGGGTTATTTCAAGGCAGTATTCTAGTCTGTTGAGACTAAGAAAAATCAGGAAAACCTCAGTCAAGATATAAATTTAATTGAGATTCAAACCAAATACCTCCTGAATACAACTTTAGGCTGTTACTCCTGTACCAAATGGTTCATTTTCAGCAGGAGACACCAAATTAACTGACTGCAGCAAGGCGAAGCATGAGATCCATATATACCCATTTGTTAATGATGACATGGCTACAGTATATAAAGTTTAACATACAACTAGTAATTGACCATTAACTGATGTAGCACAAGCTTGTGTTAGACTAGTCACTATTTAAATACAACTCACTGTCAACGTTTCTTTGGACCCTTATAGTGGTAGGTGAATATCAAAATGATCTTTTCAATAACACACACAGAATCTTACCAACAAAGGACAGAACTTCCATCCCATTTTATGTAATGCTTCAAGTATCTGTGGAACTTTAGTTTCTCACCAGTGAAAATTAAAATAATACTACACAACACACACATTCAAGAGGAATTCTAGAATATGTACTGGAAATAAAATATGTTGCTACCCTTATTTATTTAGTGATATATTGAATATGTGGTTATGTGCCATAAAGTAAGATGGGAGGATGATTAAAATGTGGTGATATGGAAAGAGCCAGGGAGGAAGCAGTAATAGCCTATCCCAGTATTTGTTCAGAAAGACAGAAGAAGGACAATAAACCTGTTGGGGTAACTAGTTTATCTTCAAAGATTAAATCCAGTTACCTTACCAAATAAAAGTCAGACATATCACTGCTACTCTATCCTGCTTGGTGGAAACACCATATGAATATCAATTTTACATATTAATGTTAGAAAAAATACAAGCATTGAATCCTATCAAGTTCATATAGGTGGAAAGATAAAGACAAGTGAAGTTCTCTTTTTTTCACAAGAGAGATGTAATGAAGCATAAGGAGTAAAGAATTAGCTTTCTTTCAGTGTCAGCATAGTCATGTCATGGAACAGAGCTCATATGTGGGAATGAGAGACAGACATCCATGAATAACATGCCACTCCTCAACAATGCTACATTTACAAAGATACTAGAATATTACAAAAGATTCATCCTAATGTTATATTTTAGCGTCCTGTTGCACTGATTTAAGTCCATGATTTATTTAATCCGTCTTGCAGTGCATACATTCATTTATCTCCCTTCCCTCGCACTACATGTTTCGGCATAATAATGCCATCTTCGGGTGCTTACTTGTCCACGTCAAACCAGTTCATTGCAAGGAGAATGGGCGTGACTGACGTAGTGAGGGGCGACGTAGCGATGTGGTATCCTGAACAATTTTAATAATTTAATGTTTGACAATGTATATGATAGATACATATTTTAGTTATTTTAATGTGTGAACATGGCATGCAATGAACTGGTTTGACGTGGACAAGTAAGCACCTGAAGATGGCATTATTATGCCGAAACATGTAGTGCGAGGGAAAGGAGATAAATGAATGTATGCACTGCAAGACGGATTAAATAAATCATGGATTCATCCTAAATTATCTTGAATATCGTCTAAAAACTGTAAATTTAATGCAAAGTACAGCCCTTTGAAAATTTATGTTGTGTGATCAATTAGTTTCAGAACTGACTACAGCGTGCCACTACTGTAGTAGGAAAAAACTCTTCTGCTAGGTGAGGCAGAGTAGAATTTCTGAGCCATTTGCCATTGATATCAAAGCTGTAGCTTGCTTACCTCAGAAGTAACAGCTTGTAAAGTAAGGCTGTGTGTTGAACACTGTGTGTTTAAGTTTTATCAGAAAGTGGCAGATTTCAAAGAATGGCATGTGTGGATCAAGTTACAATTTAAACTAGACAAAAATATTATAGGAACCTATAAGATGATAAAATCTGCTTTACAAATTTCAAAAGTGGAGTGACATCAGTTGCCAATGCTGAGCATTCAGAA